ACATATTTTTCACCTCATTGTTATTGTGCAGAAAATCGCTTCTATCTCGGTCCCCAAGATAGTCTGTCCACTGCTTGTCTATTTTATAAAGCTTAACCTTAGTATACGTTTTATGGTTTTACAGATGAATAAGCATGGGCTTATAGATGAATGAGGCGAATATCCTGTCATTTAGACAAACTGGAGGCAGATCCAGAGGTGTTGAGTTGAGTAAAGAATTAAGATCACAGCAGTCGGGGCATTCCCATACATTTTCCATCCTCATCTTCAGCAGCCAATGCAGAGTTCTAATACTGATGATACAGGTCGCAATCTGGTTATATTCCCGTCTTGCCTTTCCTCCGAGTTTAGTGAGCCAGCCAGACCCTCTGGTTTCACCCAGGTGCCAGAGGTAAACCACGCAAGCGATAGATAGATGGAATATCTGTAGCCGTAAATACCAGCACCGATGTAACACATATAAAGGCTGGCACTCGATGCTTCTTCGGAAGCTGACGCTAAAAATGTATAAGAGGATTAAAGAAGAAGAGGAAAAAGAAGAAGAAGATGATGATAATATTCTGGACACATAAATAGAACAATTGCAATGTCTTGAGAGAAACTTATTCACGAAAAGTATTGATGCTCACATTAGACAGAAACAATAAAGATTCTTTGATCATGTCATGAGATAAAAATTGTTACGGTGAAATAGTTAAGAGACAAGGAGACAGAGGAGAAGATGCTATAGAGTTTCACAGCATGGCATCTAAGATTATCTGTGTCAGAAATTATTTAGTTTACATGAGACAAAAGGTTGTGGATAGACATGATTACCAACGCCGCACGGCATGTCCATGAAGAAGAAGAAGAAGAAAAAGAAAAACAGAAAGAAGAAGAAGAAGAGTTAATACTCGAGGAAAAGAGTTAATCAGAAGCAAAATCAAGAAACTCATTTCAACCGTTTAACTGTTATATTGGAGAACACCTACAGGTCAATATTTGTATGAAAGAATGGCACACATTTGGAATAGTACACATTTATTCTGTTATATAAATATAAAGAATAATAAAAACTGTGACATAGTTGGTGTTTTCATGTTTCTACTTGTATAATTATTTCAACTCTGCATCACTCTAAATCGATAATTAACAAGACATTGTAAACGGTTTAAAATATACGCTGCAAATGCAAAGTTTCAATCAGCTCTTTAAATGGGTAAAGTACAGTAAAGCCGCTAAACTTTCAGTAAACTTGACAGACAATAATTACTGTACATTCAAGTTGTCTCACGTGTGCGTTTTTTTTTTTTTTTTTTGAAATCCCACAATTACTTGAAACAAAAATTGCCTGTCGGGGTCGCTCTTTTCTATACACAGAAACTTACATATAATTTACATGTATAACTGCCTATTAAAACTGTATTACATAAGTCATGCTGTTCACAAGTCAGTGGGTTTTTTTTTTTTTTTTTTTTTTTTTTTTTTTTTAATAAATTGATTATATGGCACTGGACAAGATTAACAACATACTTTCAGAAGAAAGGAGAACCCGAAATGTATCAACGTCTTTATTACGTTTTCCGTTAGTTATTCATTGCCTGCCCTATGCAGACTCCAGGTTATTATATAACCATTGGTTACCTTAATATAATTGTAGAAAGGGGTTCTGGATTTGTAATTGTTTGATTCTCATCATTGAGGTACTGATGCTACAGGCTGCAATCCTAGGGGAGACAGACTACCTACTTTCCAGCCTTTCTGTTAGTAGGACAAGAGTTCAGAAAGTAAAACACTACCACGTGTTTCTCGTAAAGTTTTTTGTATTAAAAAAATATACTTGGATGTGTCGTGTACAAATTGTTATTATTCAACATAACCCAATCATCTTGTGCGGCTTTATGTCAGCTCAAAACAAGTGCACATATGCCAAACCGTACCAGATTTTTGTATTGATCACGTAGAATGTCTTCACTGCTTAAATCACCCCCTAATCATCTTCAAACCTCCTCCCACGGAGTACATCTTTAAGTGAACCAAATAGATGACATTCATAGGATACCAAACTGTCATTATAAGGCGGATTGGGTAGTACAGTGCTGCCTAATTCATTGACTGCTTCCAGAGCTGCCAAACTTGCGTGAGGGTGCGCATTGTCATAAAAGAAAAGCGGGTATGCCGGACTCTTGAGCGGTCAGACTTTACGGAAAGGTTGACTGTTTTCTATGCCTCAATGTAAGCTAGCGATTTGATTGCCTCTCCTCTTGGCATAACATCCGCAATAATCACACCCTACATGGCCCAAAAGACAATGATCATGACCTTCCGGCGTAAGATAATTTTTTTTTTTTTTTTGGTCCTTTGTCAAATTGCAGATGAAGCCACTCAATTGTTTGTCTTTTTGTCTCAGGTTCAAAATGATGTGCCCATATTCCGTCACAGGTAACGATCTCAGCCAAACAGTTTTTCTCTATCAGAACTGGAAGCAACAAAAATTCTGAAACAAAACAAAAAAAATGATTTCATTGATAACCTGTATTCATTTCTGAGACTTTTAGGAGCCCAGCTTGTGCAAACGTTAGAGCTTTATACTTGCATTTGCGCTATCATTGCTGACTGAAGCTGTAAGGCTATTTATTAGTAGCGATTCACGTATCAGTAATAATAATGACTCCAGTGTTTTTTAAACAGTTCTCCTTTTGTAGCTGTTAGAATGAGTACCGTCATCTCTCCACTTCCTAATTCTTAGATTTTCTGAGACCAGCAATGACTACTCCTGTAGGTTCTTTATTAATATCCTACACCTAGACGATGTCACATTACAGTCCAACATTTTAGAGTTTGGTAAGACTGGGTTTCCCGGCTTTCAGATGCTTTTAACGACCCCAAAATGTATAGAACTGACCCTAACCCCAACCCACCTACGTCCCACGAGAGAGTGCATCCCATGACTGCATGCAAGCTAGATCCCATGACTGCATGCAGCCTAGATCCCATGACTGCATGCAGCCTATCTACCGCCCCCTGAGACTTGTCACTTTGGATATGAAGGCAATTCACTAATGTGCTACCGCAGTGACAAATCTCATGATACCTGTTGCCAGTCACCATTTCGTCTTGTTCGTGTCCGAATGTCCGATAAAGTGCAGCAGGAGAAGATCGAGGCCTGGCCGAGATTCTATAGGAAGTAATGGGCCGAAACAATTGTCAACGAGAGGTCCTTCTACTTATGGACAGTGGACCCTTGCTGTGCGTGCTCATCTGTGCTCTTTTTAACACTATTATTATTATGATAGATCATACGCCAATCGGTTGCCTGAGTGTTGAGGAAAGAACTGATATTACAACACTCAGGACATTTTCACACATGCCCCGTCCTCATCTTCAGCAGCCAGCAAAGAGATCTAATGCCAGTGGTGCCAGGTGCAGTTTGATTATATGTCCATCTTGCTTCCCCTCTGAATATAGAATGTGGGCCAAATTCCTTGGTCTCATCCAGATGTACAATTCTACCCAGACTATAATTACCGTTCCGTGCCTCTGTATTTTTCACTTGCTCCGAATGGGCATTTAACAATTTTAGCTTGTCTTGCCAAAATTTATTTTGGAGAAGAAACAGCCAGTCTGTCTGCCTGTTCACTTCATAACATTCATGCATGTCCAAGAGAAATTATAAAAACGTTAACTACCCTGGACAACTAAAGTGATGCTTGCCAATCTACATGGAGCATGTCTGTCTCTATCTTTCTTAACATGCTTTATGGGTCGGTTACAATCATGACATGTGGATACATCTGGTTCTCATCCGCCTCCATTCTCAAAATAGATGTAGCAGTATCATACCCGACACTTTTGCAATCAGCGTCCTCCATTCATTTTATCACTGAACCCTTTGGCATTTCTTCTGCCTATCAACACAGGTACATCTGTATAGATAATCACATTAACTGACGGGAATCTTCTTCTTCTTCTTTTTCTGATTCATCCGAACTCGTAAAGTATGCCCGTTTACAACATAGCTACAATATATTTGCGCTCTTCGACCCAAACATCAGATTTCTCAGCAGGCATTTTAGGTCTGGGACTAACCTGATGTGTGTTATCATGAATCGATTGTTGGATTTCTGATTCTGCAGTGCCTGCTGGCCAACCTTTACAAACCACCATCGCCAAGTGGAATAAGAACCCTACATAAACCTGATTTTTTTTTCTCTCTCTGACACTTTGGTCCATTTTACTCCTATTCGAAATTTCTTTTCCTGGCATACACACTTCTCTAGCTGCGTAATCTCCTTCTGCCATCCAATACTTCCCTCTAATTATCGTGTAACCCTTAGCTGTATCCAGGGCTTCATGAAAAAAGTGGATTTTATCAGCGGCTACCTTCAGACCTATACAGATGGTAGCAACTGGTTTCCTAAAAACCTTAACCTGCACAGGTTCCCTGAAAATTCTGAACTGCACAGATGGTAGCGCCTGGTTCGGTTAAAATCCAGACCTGCACAGTTGGTAGCAACTGGCTCCCTAAAAACTCTTACTTGCAACTTACAGTAGCAACTGGCTCCCTAGAAATCCTGACCTACCCAGTTCGTGGCCATGGGTCTCTAACTTATCATACTCAAGACGCTTCGGTCCCACACTTGCTGGACAATGGTAAACATAGCCAGTTATGACGGTCTGTAGATAAAACACAGTTTACTGGCACATCTCTTTCAGTTATAACACGTATTACATTAAACTGCGTTCTGCTTAGCCGTTGTTGTTGTCAAAAAAACTGAAATTATAGTCTGAAGATGGTCACATCATGACACTGTGGATCTGAATGAGTTCAAGTAACAAATATGAAATCAAGTGTAAATCCAGCAATTTATGGAACACACGCAGTAAACACCTCCTGCGTTGGTTGATACCGAATACAATATTACTGCTAAATAAGAACTGATGAACTGCATATTGCTGCCATTACATACTTTTATACACGCTAGCATAACAACCTGGTCATGAACATGTTTGGTGTGCATATGCTTACAATCTTTAACGATTCTTTAGCAATAAATAACAACGTTACATCAGATGACACCATTATGCAGAATAGCCTCATGTTTAACACTAGCAATGAAGGTACCAGTTTCCTTCTGTTTAACGATGTACTGGATACGCACATTGTAGACCTGCTCCACGTCTTCATTAACTGCTTCATGGTAAACATTATGTGCGCCTTCGGGATCGTCGGAAACTGCATCAACATTGCCGTTTTGTGCCAGCACGGATTTCGAGAAACAACAAACATAATTCTGTTTTCCCTGTCCGTATCTGATCTTATGTACTGCTTGGTTGTACCTATAACCAAACTGCGATTTGTTATCATGTTCTTTAGCGAAGCCGTTGCTATCACAGCGCAAACATTTGGTACTGTCTACTTGTTCATGCCCAAATTTGTGTATCTAGCCAGTAGTTTTACTTATGTTTCCATCATTGCTGTGGAGCGCTTTGTTGCGGTGTTCTTCCCATTTCACGTCACGAAAATCTTCAGCCGACACAACATGAGAACTCTTGTACTATCAGTTCCAATAGTCACTGCAATCGCCCTGATCCCGACATTCTTCGCGTTAACATATGAATGGGTTTTAGACCCCAGATTTAACATTACAGTGGCCACGATGAAGTATACAGAGTTTTATTTAACCTATCATTCAATCATTGACTCTTATGCCTGGGTTGGTCTCAGCAACGGCTTTTGCGCTACAAGTTTAATAGTGGTTGTGACGTGCTGTATCGCTATCGGGATTAAACTTATCCGAGCTGTGGTTAAGAGAAAAGAGATGACCCAAAGAGCTGCAACCAAGGATAAGGCAGTAAAAATGTTAGTCACCGTTTGTGTTGTGTACATCGCCATTGCTACACCCATCGTTACCTTGTACTCTTATTTTCAACCTGCTTTTATTTTCACATCCTCATTGTATGAGCTTGTAGATAGCATTGGGGTTTTTCTGAGTTGTATCAACGCATCGGCCAACTTTGTTATCTATGTGACCATGTCTGAGAAGTTTGCCAACACTTATAGAAGGCTCCTGTCTTGCTCTGGTGAACTTTATCGACGAGGCAGCAAACGTTACTCATCAAAAATTATCTCAGTTTGAATTATTTACGTAGTAAAAGCATAATACTATTATTTTTGACATCAAAAGCTTCAGATTACGAATGACGCCAGCTCCCATGTGGAAAGACTGTACAACTGTGGCAGAGTCCTTACCGCCTATAGTAACCACTTTTTGCGACGGTAAAACACAGGTTTTGAACCAGTGCTGCATGGCAACTGCAGTCGCCAGGAACTACCAGATATGTTTTCATTGGGCCACCCTAAAAAATTTTACAAACATGTCCATCCCTATAACAAGATTTCAAACCCGGTTATCCCAATTTATACTGCAAATGGTAGACCCTGAAAAGTGACGCTATTGTTTCGGGACAGACAAGCAATACCCCACGTTGAAATATTAAATACTCAACGAGAAGTAACAAGTCGACGAGAACCATGTAATGGGTGTGAATCTACAATTATGATCCGATTACAAACTGAGAGATCTGTGGCTACACAAAAGCATTATGAAGGAAACCTAAGAAGAAGAATGCTCTGGAATTTGTTGAACGGATCCGAAATGTTAGAGACTAACTAGCTCGACATTCAAGGCAGATGATCTGTGTAATGATGCAGGTTTGGAGATTACGGGTAAAGATCAGGGAAATGATAATGTGCATAATAAATAAGTAGGGAGTCGGCCAGAAGGGAATCCAACACTTAAGGGTTTTAGCGAGTTTAGAAGAAAGGAGAAAGACAAGAATTATCAGCATTAAGGAACAATAATAAGAAATCAGTTGGAGTGGCAAGAAAGTTTAGAAATGATAAAGAATTAAAAATTCATTCTCTGTATGGCGCTTGAAGGAGATAATTGAGTCTGCAATAGAGTCAATGTACTAACGAATGTACACAAGAAGTCTACATCAGCGAAGTGCAAATCTGTGTGGATGACAAAAGGCGAGTGCAAACAGTCATGAAAGTTAAGAAAGTGAGTAAGCTTGAATGTGGACGCCTGCGGTTTGAGGTTTTGAACAACGGATCAACATCGTGACACACGGGTAGTAACCCATAAGTGCTCCACTCTTCTTCTAAATCGTCTGAGTCTGAAGGAGTTCAGCGCAGTGCACAGGCTCTGAAACCTGAAATACTTGTGGTTGATTTTGAACTCCAAATTTTGCACAGACAGCGCCGTTAGGCTACTCTTTTCGATTTCCAACTACCAAGGGAGTTTTTTTACGTGCGCAATAAGGCACACGGGCGTCCGATCTCACTACCCAAAGACCAGGGTGAATAACTAGAAGTCAATGTCTATGTGAAAAAATCCCAGCCCTTACAGGGTATTGAACGTCTGCGAGTTTGAGACAAGCAAAATGTGTGCAGGGCATTCTATGTTGTAAATAACCTTGATAGCACTGAGTTGTGATAGAGGGCAGTAACCATGAGAATTAACCTTGACAACCGTTAGCGACAGTCTACAGGTGATTGCACACAGCCTAGAACAGAGATTAATCGTTTGCTTTGGGAATTCGTGCCCATTTATTTTGAAGTTTGGTGTGTCTTGGCCACCGTTGCTGTTCACGATAAACATCAGCTGAGAAAGTTAAAACTGGAATCATGTATGAATTTAATTATTGTCAAACTGAAACTATGAGGCATAAATGAAACGACAGTAAAATAGCTAGTACTTCAAATGCAATTCACATCAAACAAAGGAAATCAGGGAGTTCCCCGGAAAATATAATATTATAGTATTGTTATGGGTTTGGATTAGGATTAGGGTCAGGGCTAGAGTTAGAATTAGCTGGTGTCTTTACCAGGGGTTCTGGCCGACGCTCAAAACTCAGGGGAAGGATGAGACGGATATACAATCAGACGGTTTCTAATACCATCAGAATTAGAACTCTTAGCTTGCTGCTGAAGATGGGGACTGGATACATATGGGAGTGTCCCGAGTGTTGTGATGTCAATTCTTAATTCAACATAGCTGGTGTCTCTGTGTATTCGCGAGTGATAATGATTTCGTTCCAGAGCACGCAGGCATTTTCTTGCTTTTGTCCCACCAAATGATAGCTTCAGTATTCATTTTTAACTATAACACCCTTAAATATTTCACTGTCCCGGGAACTCATAGATGTCCTTTGTTTGGGATGAATTGAAATTGAAGTCCCAATGAATAAATAATTTCATTTGAATAATCGTCAAGCAGAAAAGGTAATTTTACTAAAATTTTAGGCAAAAGCGAACGATCATTTTTAAATGTAGGTGGCAAATGGATACAGTGATGCGGGTTTAGAGATTATAGGTGAAGGCGGCAAGAATCCTTAATTTTCATAATTAATAAGTTTAGTGAAAGCCAAAGCCAAATTCTCAACATTCACGGGTTTGGTTTCAGGAATGTTTATTTGTCCTCATAACATGCCCATATCGTTGGCACTACGCTAAATTCCCCTGCTGAACTTTTTCATCAAAGTAAATGTTCAGGACTGCCATTTGTCACTTTGCAATTTGCCATTGGCACACTTGTCAATTTATACTCTAACCAGTTCATATTAAGTATTGAAAATATGGGGGTGACTGCAGTCAAGCTAATACAAAGAATTCCAGTGAAATGTGACTAGAAAGCTTAACGAAATTGGAAAACAGAAAAACGTGCACAAAACTACACAAATAATGTTTCGGCCGGCAGCTTTTGTCAAACATGAAGGCAACTACACAAATGTAACAAAGAGGAGAGTATTCGGATCTCTAAGGGGTGGCGTGACCAACGTTTAAAAAAATGTGATGTGGAGAGAATAAAATAAAATTAAAGATGGCTAAAAAAACATATAGTCGTCAGAAATAATAAGTAGTATTGTTAATATATAATATAATAGTAGGAATAAGAGAATTACAAATAGAAAAAAAAAATAGAAATACATATAAAGTATTACGTGTCAGGTATCTTCATAACACCCGTTATTAGACCAAGAAAATGGCGATGTATTTGATACATTCTTGAGAAGAAATGAACAGAGAATCACCAAGTGGGCACTGAAATGGGAAAAAATGAATTGAGGGAGTGAGGACACACACACACACACACACACACACACACACACACACACACACACACACTCACACTCTAAGACAAACATTGATGAGAGCGGCTAAAGTGTTGGACTAAATTTTGTGTATGACATCGAAAGAATACGAGTCAGACTCGTAATTCCAACGTACCTCTGTCGAGACCCACTGCTGGCTGAGTGCATTTTTGTCATGATATGGGGTATCGCAGATCAACCCAGCCTAAAATGGGTACCAGGATGGCTGTCCTGGGGAAGTAAAGACGGCCGGCGTAATGCTGACCACATTACCCACCTGGTGCCGATAGTCTGTAGAATATGGGAGCTTTCGATTTTTTTTTTTTTTTTTTTTACTTTAGATCAAAATAATTCACCAGGATAAAACTAAACGGAGGAACATACTACAAGCCCTATATGACACATAATGGCATAACTGTACAAAGATCATGATAACATTTTCATTTGCTGCAATGTGATTTTTATGTTTATTTTTTTGGGAAGAGGGGGGGGGGGGAGGGCGGTGGATCTAGCATTCGGGTGACTTTGGTGTTTCTCAAAAATATGAGCGATTGAACCATATTGTTCAAAGTAGATTTCTCTCTCCCTTTCATTCTCTTTCACATTTCTAGCTAACTCTCTTGACCTCTTTTGATCTCCCTTCTGTATTTCGTTATAAATCTCTTTCTAGCTCTCCCTCTATGTCATCATTTTCCAATGGAATCACAGTTACATTGTGTTTTCCACATTCTCACGTCGAGACTGATCAACCACTCTTCTTTAACATAGTAATAAATACAGATTATCATCATCAAGTTTCTGTGCGTGTTTAAGAGAGAGTGGGAGGAAGAGATTATTGCGTATCTATGTCTACACTGTGTTGTTAGCTGAGCTATCCTAAAATTACTATATTATAAGAGATGCCTTGTGACTTAATTTTTTTTTTTTTTTTTAGTAGGCATATCAACATTCACATTACAAACAGAAAAGTAATACAACGAGGGAATAGATGAAAGTTACTTTTTTCAAAGACGAATCTTTTTGTATGCATCAATTCTTGTATCGATCAATGGGGAGTTCTGTTTGCTGGAACTTTTCTCTGATTCAAATAATTTATTTCGACAGGTCGCTCCTAACCACCATAGCTCTTCTCTCTGACAGGTTATATCTTTAATTTTTATTTTTTTTTAATCAAGTAGTCACTACGGATTAAACCATTAGACGTAATTGAAACAGGTACCGATATTTAATTGAAATGATATTTTTCTTTTTTTCTACTTCTTATTTATCCTCATAGCTATCTTTTTTTTTTTTTATATCTCAAACTGCACCTGAGATTCCTACCTCCCCCTTCTCTCTCTCTCTCTCTCTCTCTCTCTCTCTCTCTCTCTCTCTCTCTCTCTCTCTCTCTCTCTCTCTCTCTCTTTCTCTATCTATCTATCTATCTATCTATCTATCTATCTATCTATCTATCTATCTATCTATCTATCTATCTATCTATCTATCTATCTATCTATCTATCTATCTATCTATCTATCTATCTATCTATCTACTATCTATCTATCTATCTATCTATCTATCTATCTATCTATCTATCTATCTATCTATCTATCTATCTATCTATCTATCTATCTATCTATCTATCTATCTATCTATCTATCTATCTATCTATCTATCTATCTATCTATCTATCTATCTATCTATCTATCTATCTATCTATCTATCTATCTATCTATCTATCTATCTATCTATCTATCTATCTATCTATCTATCTATCTATCTATCTATCTATCTTATCTATCTATCTATCTATCTATCTATCTATCTATCTATCTATCTATCTATCTATCTATCTATCTATCTATCTATCTATCTATCTATCTATCTCTTACCCTAAAACCGTAACCTTAAAAAAAAGACAGTTTTACTGACTATTCTACTGCCACCTGGACCGCTCTATTGCTCAGACTTGTCCTGTGGTTGGTTTCTTCACACTGTCTGGTGAGATCCAATTGTTCCTTAGATTTTTGCTTAGTGACAAAATAAGATTCTACAAAGGTGGAAGAGTCGGCGCAATACGATTTAATCGTGCTGATGAAGTTATCTCAATAATGTGTGTATGTGAATGTTTGAGAACATCTGGTTCACATGACTAATTTTTGCCCTAAATTTTCCTTAAAAAACAGCCAATAAGAATAAACTCACAGGGAGCAAGTACAGCGGGGATCTACAGTCATCAGTAGAAATTATCCTCTTTCGACACACGTTTCGGCCCACGATTCCTAAACGTATTCGGAGGTGGGCCCACCTGAGTTCATGAAGCTCAGGGCTGCTTCCCCCCGCGCACAGAATTACCGGATGGTGTATATTATTTCGGCCAGAGACAAGACGACTTAGTGGTTTCGAAGGAGGTACTGTGAGATAAGAAGCCGCCGCGACAGCGTAATTAGAACAGTCCGCATGCCTGGACGACCGAGCGACAAGCTTACTTTGGTTTACCGGACACGACACATGTTGGACTTTTATTAGCAGTTGGCAGAGGAACACTGGCAGACAATTCGTACACGATGGACTTTCAAAGGGATGAGAAACTCTTTTCCACTAGATACCCGGACCAGCTCACCGAGGCCCGTCCCCTACGTTGTTGCGCTGCGTCCAAAGCCAGCTGGATGCCCTTTCGGCCACCTCACCAAGTTTTTTGAGTGCCCGTTTTCCGTTCATTTTACCGCGCAATCCTAATTCTTTCACCACATTGTAGAGCGAAGTGGAAACGAGGCCTCTCGCTCCCACTTCGACGCAAAATACCCGCACTGTGTAAGCCCTCGTTTCTCCTCAAACCGGCTGCTAAATCACTGTACTTTTCGAGCTTGTACAAGTGATTCTCCTCCATACGCGACTCAAACGGGACCGTCAACTCAATCAGGATGAGTTGCCGTTTTTTTGCGCTGAATGGAGAACGATGTCCGGTCGCAGGCCGGTTTTACGGATCAACTCGGGATACCGTTCATGTCCTGGCAGATCAACCGCCAGTAACCAGTCCCTCGCAGAGTCTAGCGCAGATGGAGCGAATGCGTTTTTGTTGACCTTACCAATCGAAACCTGCCCAGCCTTGAGGAAACGAATGGGGGCGATACTAGAACTGGCTCTGGCGTTAGCCCTCATTCTAGCCTGGTCGACAACGGCTGCTAACTCCTTTAGCACCTTGTTGTGGCGCCAGGTATATCGGCCTTGACCTAGGGCTTTCCTGCACGCGGACAGGACGTGCTCAAGAGTTTGTTTTGATTTGCACAACGGGCAAGTCGGATCGTTGGTCGCAGACCATTTAACCATGTTGACACCCTACAAAGGCTGAGTCACAGTGTTAAGTTTGATTTGTTACAATGAAATCATACGCATTAATAATCACAGACAAACAGTGATACCAGAATGCGAGTTATCTAAATGTCAGATTGGCAATAAGATAATGCGAAAGTCACCTGTACAGTGTGTGTGGTGCAGGCCACATTGTTCTAGTTTAAACTCGTATAACTATGGTCTCATTTCAGGCAAACTAAATCTAACACGGACAAGAAGACGTTATTCCTTGATCAGTCCTTGACTAACTCTCATCTGGTATATGTGCCTAAGTTTCACACTTTTCTTGTATGTACTCTCATATTCTCTGTTGCGTTCACTTTTCAATTGTTTATTAATCTCTAGTCGGTATGTGTGGCTTAGGCATTGCGTAATTCCAAAATACCCTGTTCGACTGAACCACAGGCTTTTGGCAGCCCTGGCGTTGCAACCATGCAGCAAAGTTTATGGCGATGGCTATCTAACGTCCTGGCCCGCTATGTCACACTACCACGTATGGTGCCAAACGACATTTAAAAACAACTAGCTACACTATTTTGACAACCTATAAACCCGTATATCGCACTCTGTCAGTTGTTTCTAACGTTCCATTGCTAGTAGAGGCAAGTCACCAGAAAATCAGCTATTTCCAGCATTCGATAATCGTGCCCTGTGACAATCAATATTCATGCAAGATTTGACGGGGTGCAGTATCGATACAACTTAGATAGACGTTATCACATCTCCCCTGATGAAACTTCTGAATTATTTTTTAAATTATCGATGTATATTTAGCCACAATGACAATTCTTGAAGACGATGTCAAAGATAGCTAGTAGAAGAGTTTCCGTGACAGCGGCTTCAAAATCGGCATAATGAGTGTATCACGTGGTGAAAGCAAATGCCTTGTTTTCGGCTTGTTCTGTATGTATCATCAAACGTAAAATTCGAACATCTTTTCTTTTATGCAGATCTCAAGCTGATGGCTGCTAACTGCTTTTTGATGGCACACATTTTCGTCTGATTATTTGCATTATTTATTATTAATTTCACTAGAATCTAATTTTACTTATGGATCAAAGTTGCATCCCCATTCTACTTATGAGTGCCTTGTAATGTCAGGCCTTATTATTTCCGCTATCAAATTTACATTATTAGAATCAAACATTTTTATAATCACAGCTGTATTTTTTGGCTGGTAACAATGCGGGCAATCTATTATGGACGTATAACACTCACGTTTTCTGACGTCGGATAAAAAGCTTTGCACTCATTATTTCCAATAAAATCGGGCAATCGAAAATACAGCAGACTGCGCAACCTCTAAAATAACTGCACTTAAACAAGACTTCATCACTTTAAACCTATAACTTACTTGCTGTCTAAAGCAATTAGGCTAAATTGTATCATCAGATACGAGATGAATTTCACAGAATATTTTTCAAGTGCATTAAAAAATCGTTGCAAATTGTTTCATAGTATCGCTTAAGGAGAATAATGAGCTTGGGTGTCGTGGAAATTATTGAAGAAGAAACAAATTTAATTGCAGAATGTAATGCACTGGGAAATTGTTAGGACTCTTTACACTATAAAAACATATTGGATAGCTTTACTTTTCGTGTAGTGGTTTTCTGTATTCGTCTTGCGCTTCTCGGGTTGCTTCAGTGATGTTCATCATTTTGCAGGTTCCAGTTTCAGCATTTACCCATCTCTTTCTTTGTTTTCCTCTGGCCTTCCTCCCAGCTGTTCTGCTGTTAAAGGTCTTATAAGTAGTTTGGTCTGGCTGATTTCTCACTAGATGGCTGAATCACTTCTACTAATATTTATCGTTTTTAGGAGGTACAGATTTGTAATCTCCCATAGGGGGTATTTCTATCTCTGGTCATCAATTGAGAACCCTGCGGTTATCAAATCTATGCGTATACTTGTGCGTATTAACACCAGTGCTACAAAACAATATTTGTTAAACAGAATTATACACACAAGTATGTTCTAGTTCTCGTCGTAATTAAATAACATGCTTGAAGATACAATATTTACCCAAGAAACAGGGATACCTGACAAACAACAAGTATATTCGCAGACAGGAAACTACCAAAGCTATTGACGAAAAAATATATAAACAAACTTATGTAGACCATAAAGAATTTTACAATAAAAATATATCGCCATGCCGGGAATCATTGACGAAACCCAATTTAGCATTCTGGAAATGGCTGCCTGTGTTTCTTTTACAATATTTGCACTGTTAGGAATCATATCAAATGTTATCAACATCAAAACATTCATCGCCATGGGACTCAAAGACAGTGTTACCGTGTCATTTCTTGCTTTGTCATTGTTTGATTTGGCTTATCTTGTTAGTACATTTTGTTGCACAATCGCATTATCTTTCAACGTCATTGAAATTTCGTATTACGAACATTTACCTATTGAACCGTTTGGTGTACATGTATTTTTTGGTCACGTAGTTATACTGATTAATGTAACCAATACATTAACTACAACTTTTATTGCAGTTGCGCGATGTATGTGTGTAGCCAAACCGTTACACTTTAAACATTCTTTTACTGTCAAAAGAACAGTAATTGTTATGTCAGGATTTGCTGTTTTTGCACTGGCTATCTATACACCGCTTCTTGCCTACATGGGAATGGTTGAGAGACTAGACACAAAAACTAACAGATCCAGACCATCGCTTTGGCTGTCACCACACAAAGACTCAATCAAAAATATTGTATGGACGTTAATACAAACTGTACTGCCTGTAGTTACTGAGTTCATCGTTCTTCTCTGCATTGCAGTTATGATCAACAGTCTTCTCGCTGCTTCAAAGTTCAGACAAGCTTCAAAAATACCTGTAGGTAACAAGGAGGGCAAGACTGGTTCCTTTAATGATTCCTCTGACAAATTGTCTGGGAAAGACATTCGTGTTGTTAAACAAGTGACTCTCATTTCTGTAATGTATATAGTGTGTAACACACCAAAGGTCGTAATAAGCTTAGTCAGTTTCATCGAAGCCGAATTTAGTCTTAGACAACGCTATAATAATTTATACGTCTGCATTAACTATTTCCGTATGCATTTTGAAATAATTAACGCATCGATTAATACGTTTGTTTACTATATATATAACACGAAATTTAAAGACACGTTGTCCTGGAAATGTTGATACTTATATTATTTTATAATTTTCAATAAGTAATAGTCGCTTTCACTTACTTTTAGTCAATCAGAGACCGACACACGTAAAAATTAGCACTTATGAAAAGAGCTGAATAATGAATGCCGTCATAGAAGAAATAGTTTTTTTTTTTTTTTTTTTTTTTTTAATGAATGATAGATTAAACAACACCAAATACATTAAGGAGCAGAAGATTAAATGTTATGAATATCTTTTGAGAAGACAATGGCCCTGGGAAGGAAGAAGTTAAGGGCGCTTGGAAAGGGTGGGAGAGGACTAAACCCCAACTTAATGTTTGTGGGTGAGGATAAAGAACCTTGAATTTTGTTTAAGTATGCTATTATTATTATCATCATGATTATTATTATTATTATGTGCTAAATGGTTATTATATATAAAAATATATTTCAAATAATATTAAATGTACAAACAAATACCTAAAGGAGAACTTCTATACTAAGCTGGAAAGGAAGGGGGCTGGGGTCAGCCTCTTTACATCCACACATTTTCTAGGAGAGGAGTGAGGCCTGCCCATCAACCATTGTTTTCTCTATGAGGGGAGTGGCTGAAAAATTATGCCTGTGGGCCCCCGTGCTCAGGAGGAAAGCAACGGCAAACTACCTTCTGCAAATTTTGCCAAGAATCCATAACAATCATGATTCAAAAGCATTTGACTGTGTACAACATCAGAAGCTTTGGGAAATCATGAGGAATATGGGCTTTCCATCACATATAGTGCAGCTCATTAAAATGCTCTATTAAGACCAACAAACAGCAGTCAGAATAGATGG